AATTGCATTATTCAAAGAGGTTAAGTATATTCGGGTTTTTGTGTTTCCTAAGTAAATATGATTTTATAAAAGGATATCACTATAATTGAATTGTATTGATTTAGAATGGTGCAAATGGCATATTTGAAGAGTATCTTTACTCTTCTAGGGAAAAAATAGAGAAAATATGAATTTCACACATTTTAATGGACTTTTTATTATACGCCCTTAGTATGTTATAAGTAATTTATTTACAATTTTTATAACATATAATATTTACAACAGTATATAGATGGATTATGTTATAGTACTATATGCAAAGAAAATTATTTCAGAGTATCATTTAAATTAAAAAGAACAGTATTTACTCATTATCCGAATTTTAAAATCTATCAAAAATTTATCAGAGAGGTTTCCAAAAATAATGTACTAGAACCACAAAAATTTTTTTTATATCATTTTAATAATTTGAATTTATGGCTATTTCGAGTATTGCCAAATACCCATCATCCTCTCTATTAAATACAATTGTTTCTATTAAGTAAAATAGTCACTACATCAAATTGACGTTAAAATCAGATTTAATTAAAAACTTATTTATAAAAAATTTTAGAATCCCATAAATGTATCTATTTTACCTTATATTATGATCAAATATAGCGATCGCCCAGGCAATTCCTCCATTACAGTACCTCTTTTATTACCACGTTTTCGTTCCACCTACATACCAGGACTTATTTATGAACAGTTTCTTTAACAGGTCAATATGAATTTGTCATATTATCGTATATTCTCATATATAATAAACAAAATTTCAACAATTAATAGTTTGAAATAAAAAATTTATTTTTAATTAACTAAAATTTTTGTTGTTGTTTTTTCATTTCTATTCGAACTCTTCTAAAGTTTAAACAGTTTTTTTTCGTCATAAGACAAAAAAAAAATTTATTTTTTAAATACATATATATTATTTATTGTATCTTTTCTTGCGATGAGACTAACAATAAGATAATGTTATTGTTAATTAATGTTAGATGGTTTATTAAGAAAACAATAGAGCTTTAATAGACCACTAAGAAAATAGTTGGGTTTTTACTTATTCCTATTGCATTTTAATTAATGGCTGAAAGATCCGCTCTTTTTAGACGGAAAGTAATGGTTAGAAGTGCGAGTGGTTATCATGTACTGTCAGCCTTTTATTGTATTTTTTTTTAACATTGTCAAATTCAACTTTAACTATGGAAATTTTTAGATCTTGATGGATTCTTTCATAACATGGGGCACCAGTGATTGTTCTCAGTATTTTTTAATTAAGCACTTAAGGATAATTTCAATAATTGAAGATCTGACATTACCAAATCGCTGAATACTGTAAGTCTATATTGGTTTTATGATGCTATTATACAAAAATACTTTATACTCTAGGCACAGGAAGGATCTGTTATTAATAAGGCAATGCAACTTAGAAGCTTGAAGGTTCATTTGTAGTTTTTGTCTTCAATGTGTTTATGTACATCAAGTTAGGCAATTAAATTGAAATTGATGCATAAAAATTAGATAGCAGCCTCTAAATAAGATTGATACTAATACGACAATTTACTTAAGAAAAACATGGATTGCAATTAACCTATTGGAATCCTACTGTATCTAATACTGGTATCCAAGGAAAGAGCAGTTATCATTCTACTACTATAAACTTCTGACTACTTCTTAAGTAATTCTTTTGCACGTTTAGTGTAGAATACGGTCAAGTATTTATCCATACTCTTGACTGGTTATAAAATACCATGCGGAGCGTTATAAGACGTTACCAGTACTGCACATTCAAATAGTATCTTATAAATAATTGATTAGTGTTCACTTCCTTCCACTTCCACTACATATCTACATACGTCATTATTATTATAAACGATATCTTAATTCATGTATCATGTATCATTTTTTTTTTGTAATTAATATGCATTTAGCTTAAATTACTGATAACTACAATAACTATAGTTGTATCTTTGCTCAATAATAATGTTTTCTTTTGTAAAAATAATAAATAATATCAAAAAATTATATAGTATATTTGTCACATTTTCAAAGTTTTGTTTTATATCTTATGATTTTTGCTGATGTCAGCATATGACATCATAGAAAACCAGAAGAAATGGTAAATTGTATGTCTAACACTTGTCAATTATTTTACTTGAAAGTTTAAATTGCTTCGACTTAAAATCAATTGACTACAACTTGTAACTATCAGAAGAATTTGAAAAGATTTCACTTAAATTCAAGTGCCGTAAACTTTAAAATATTGAACATTTTTACAAGAATTTCGTTGAAAGCAATGAAGCTGAAAATATTTTAAACTCAAAAATTTTTAAAACTTTTTGTAAAAATAACTTCACAAAAACTTTGCTAAAAAGAATATCTCACCATGCGTTCAGTTATTTAAGTACACATTTTTATGAATCATATGAATTTTATACATTTTTGACACTATAGATACATACTGCATGTACACATAAATATATGCATTTACCTACATTTGCATTTATCTACATATGCCACTTTATTTAAATTTTTACAGAATTCACTCCCATTTGCACTTATGCCATCGTTTCTGTAAAAGTACATTCCCTACAATATTGCATGCTGACGCAGTCATTTTTTTTCTATCATAAACTCTTATATATATGTACAAACACATAACTGAATAAAACTATATAATTTTTAATTTTAAAAAACTGTTGTACAAGCGCTTATTATTTCCGGGAAAGTGATTAAAATTCTAGTACATTTTTAAGCTTGTTAGTTGTATGCCACTATATAATTTATATAATATTCTTGAATTCTCTAAATATAACATATAGCGAATATTATATTATATATGTAATGTATTCTATATATATAAGATATACATAAATATATAACATATATATGAATATATATAAAATATACGTAATACATATATTACAATATATATGATATATATAGGTATAAGTATATACATAATATAATACATTATATAAAATGTTACGCATTAGCTCATAAGTCTTAAAAACAAAAAAAAATGTATTAGACAAAACAAAACAATATTGTTTTTATATGACGGGTTTTCCAAACAAGAACTTATGTCTGAACCAGAAAATTATATAGTTTTATAATGCATATATATTCACAATGGATTCAATCCATTTAGTATAAAACAGAGAACTGATATAAGTAGTGAACACTCGAGTCATTGGCAATGTTTCACTTGTATTTTTTTGTATTTCATATAAAACTGAAAGTACTTCTAATGATTTATATTCTACTCATATCATACTCATTAACACTTATAATCGACATAAAACTACCGCAAATGATTTATGAATCATTCACGAGTATATAGTTAATTAGTTAGTTAAGATGGAGGGAGGATGAGTCCTCATCAATTAGCTAAAATGCCGTTTTGAATCCACAAAAACTTCGTAATAGTGGCTAGTAGATAGAAGGTCAACTAGAACCAGTCAGAGCCATTAACAAAGGCAAGAATCTGGCTAATGCTAATGCTGGAGATATCGTCAAGTGAATAGAAAAAGGAGGCCCCTAAAAACTTAAACCTAGTTCTGGTCAGACCTGGACAAAGACACATTAGATGTTCTGGTGTCATTTCCTCAAGAGCTGGTAGACACGCACTACAAGAAGTACCACAGGGTAAGCCGAGTATAGCTCCTTGCCGTCCTATAGACCACTGTCCTGTAAAGACAGATATCAGCCTAGATACCTCAGATTACAACTTATGTGATGCTGATTCATTAGCACCGGTACTTGTTAATGAAAACACTTATGAAACATTTCTGTGGTGAGTGTGAGTGCGTATAAGTGGCATATGAGAAAAATATTTATACTCCTTTATACTTGGTTTTTATGAGTGTACTCTGAGTATTAAAATTCTGACTCTTTGTAGTTTTCTGTTTTGAAACTGGTTACATCTAAAGTAATATTATTTCTGAACTTGGTAGCTGGTGTTGGGTGTCCACACATAGACCTGATAGGTACATAGCGCTACTAGAATAGAGCCTGTAAAAAAGTTAATGGGAGTATACATAAGATTTGTGCATAAATTGCGAACTTTACAAGATAGTTCATTGCAATGTCACGGATGAACTTCAGCCCTTTAATACTGGTAACTTGAAAGAAATTTGTTTATGTTTTCGTTTTTTTATTTCCGGTTCAATACATTTCTAGCAATCGTCTCTGCTTGTAATAAGTTTAGTTATGGGTAAACTATCTGCAGTATAATTCATAATATTAATATTAAAATTTCTATTATATTTTAAATATACGAGTATATATAATATTTCATGATATATATACATGTATATATGCGGCGAAGACATTAACCAGCGCAACGCCATCTGCCGTGTTGTAAAAATCAAAGTACAAACAGCAACTAACTTGCTTCTCAGAAGCAAGAGAAAAAATACATAATCACGTGTAAATAATGAACATTCACAACATATATTTAAAAGTGTTTTAATTGATAATAAAGTGGTAATACAGAAGCACCACATTGGTGACCCCGACGTGATCTGTACACGCGACCTTCTGATGTATTTATATATTATTTATATCTAAATATATATATTACATTTATAATATATGCTATTATTTACATTTCCCTCATTATCAAATCAATACAACTTTTTAATCGAGGGATATTCAGACAAAAAATTTAGACTGCAATACTACCTTCGCTTCACATAACCGGATTAGTTTTACTAAACATATTTCCATATAGTGAAAAAAATAGCTGTTACTGTTTATATAACTTAATAGCTCACTAAACTCTAATTCTCATTTCCTTAAGCCATTATAATCATAATTTTAATTTCCTGACATTTATTCCTTAAGTATCAACCTTTTTACAACAACTGTAACTGTAGGCAGGAAAACACACAGAAGAAAATTTTAAATAATTCAAGAAAACACAACTCAGTGAGCACCGGGTCAATTTGATATCCTTTTAATTACTTGCCACTTTCACTTACCTTACGCTTGGAACGTGCCATACGTTGATCACGTGAATTTTCGGCTTCTCCAGGTGGCCGCTTACCCCACACGGCGAGTGCGATACGTGTGTATGTAAATATTAACACCGCCAACGGTACAACAAATTGCAATGTAAATAATGCCAGTGTATAATAATAGGATTGCTCCATCGAGGGCCACTCCTCACGACAAACGTATCTGCAGAAAACAGTAGAAAGATATTCACATTACTCAGCGAAACAGTTTTTAATTAAAAATAAAAATGTTAATATTGTTGTAAGTTAAGAGAACCACTCTGTAAAAATATTTAAAACAAAAAAAAAATAAAAAAAAATGAGGAAAAACTATAAGAGTTTCTGCACGCAACAGTTGCAGGACATGATGTCACAATGAAAAATATGTTCATCCGCTTCCACAATATTTGAATTGTTATATTCTCTTCATTCTTCGTTCTTCACTCTTCACTGTTTGAGTTTTCGCGGTTTAATTGTCATTTTTACTTTAAAACATTTAAACATGTCTAGCATTCTTCACTCGCTGGTCCTGTCGTTGACTAACGATGACACTTAACATGACTTATGTTCGTTGTTGGTTTGCAAAATAATTACAAAATTCGCTCAGAACGGAAGACATCTTCCAGCAGACCCACGGAATTATAAAATTTCCAACATTTACATACAAAGTCAATTCCAAATTTATGCAGCAAAATTCCTCCCAGGAGTTTAAATGCTTAAATCATGCAACAACATAAAGCAAATAAACTTAATTTTCTGTTTCTGTTGGAAAAAGATTTTGTATTGTAATGTCCTTTGGGGTGTTCACTGCGGCAGGTTCTCATACATAAATAAAGCCGCATTAGTGTCACTTCAGCGTACGTCCAATGCTTTTAAAATGACGGAAACGTTCAGCCATAAGAACCTTAAATTAATGAATGTTACAATGAAATATAAATTACGTTGACAATAATAATAGAAGAAGACACCACATTTGATGATCCAAGAAACCTGTGAGTTTAATTATGGAGAAATTTTTGAATAGTGTAAGTATGGACAAAGACTTAATTAAATTCATTGTAATCAGTTTGAATTAGTTAGGAGATGGAATAAAATATACAAACAGTTATAAAACAACTAAATTTAGAACAGAATATCATCCAATAGAAACATTTTCGCAGATTAAAGAAGATAGTTATTATGTGTCGAAATAGTAAACAACTAGATGACAGATGAAAGATACCAATGGCAGCCCGTCTTGCAATATATGCGGTTTAGTGAAGATTGATTCCATGCTCTCATTAAATTCAGTATTCTGTAAGGACAAATAGATTTTTAAATACTTCCAATTTACTTCTATGAACTAAATCAGTGGTACTATATTTGGATTACAAAGGGCATGCTGCTGTTGACCTGACTGCTGAAGATATTTTATTCCAATTTCTGTTTTTGATCAAAGTCATTAAATAAATTGCAAAAAACTGGTATAGAAAAACAACTTTTAAAAGAGAAAAATATTGGATTATTGAATGCTGCTTGTTATCTTGTATGGGTGCGAAATGTTAACTCTATCAAAGACACAATTTATAAGTAGCGAGTACCTCAAAAGATAATAAAAAGATCAATATAGGGAATGAGCAGAAGAGATCAATTAAGAATTATAGCTCTGAGAGAGAAAAAATTATGGTCGACATAATGGAAATAGTAACTACCTAAATGAAAGTAGCTGGGTACGTAACTCAAGTGACAGACATTTGGATGAATAAAAACATTCTTGATTGAAGATAATTAGAAGATAAGAGAGCAAAAATAAGAAGCAATCTCAAACTCAGTTAGAAAATCATCGATTTGCTACTAAATCACTAATTCACTCAATTTAAAGGTCATGGATATGCTACTAAATCTCTAATTCACTCAGTTTTGAAGTCATCGATATGCTACAAAATCTCTAATTCACTCAGTTTTGAAGTCATCGATATGCTACTAAATCTCTAATTCACTCAGTTTAGAAGTCATCGATATGCTACAAAATCTCTAATTCACTCTGTTTATAAGTCATCTATATGAAACTAAATTCGCTCAATTCAGAAGTCATGGATTTTCTACTAAAACACTAATTCATAGGAAGGATTTGCCTTTACCATATATTGCAATATAACTCAAGTTTAAGTTAAAATTAAAATATTTTAAGTTTTTTAAAATAAATTCCTTTCTTTACGTCTTTGAGTTCAGAAATTTATATATAAGCAAATTTTTAAACGTTCGCTACTTTTTTATGCACCGTCTAAATTGCTTATCATGGCGTATTCTACAATAATTTATTAAGTCTGAACTTCAGTCGTCAGCGCCACCTAAAAATTTTTATGCGTCTGCCTTCAAGAGGATGCCACAAGGCACAATTAAATTAGACTTTAACTGCAAGTTGTGCACTAACGCTTAACGCTTAAAAAGTTCGATGGAATGGAATCAACTTTCCATGATTGCTGCAAACAAACTGTTGATAACTACCCAACATGCCGCAAGGACAAAACATAAACTCTATGGTAGGTGTCACATACAGACAATCGCAGAGCATAAAAAAATAGTGACTTAAAGATGTCAAAAGCATACCAAGGCGTACGTTCAAGGCACATGTTACACGCCGCATTTATCGTTTTCAACATAAAATTCACTTTCGACAGAAGTTTATTTTCTTCTTCTTACGATTACTTCACATGCTAAAAATCACTTCTCTCTGTGAGTTATTCGTTGTAAATATTTTCAGTCGTGCTCAGCATTAACAAAGCCTTTCACTCACATTATATACGAGTACGAAGGTACTCCTCTTGCTACGGGGTGTCCTTATAGCAGAGAATCTTCGCATACCTAGTGTCATTTTTTACTCCTGTTGTCTTAACGTTGATGTTGTCATTCGTGTAATAACTTCCGTCAATCAAGGCAGAAATTCCGCGCCACATTCGCCGAACCAACACAAGAGTAATTGCAACTTTCTTTAGCATGACGTTTAGTATTACTCAACTCAACTCTAGTATTTTATCTGCTGAGGTGCAGAACAGGAGAAGACTTCAAAATTCAATTTATCATCTTAGCAATATTTTCTGTTGCTGGCAACTACTAACTACACTACTTACCTGTTACAATGCTCATGCCAAATGTCAGGCTGCATCAGTTTTGAGACAATTGGTATGGGAAATGCCGTTGCCAGTGCAATACCCCAAACGCCAGCGATTATAAATTTGGCATATCTGCAAAGAAAAATAATATTTTCATTTCATTGCGACTTCAAAGTATTTGAAGTATTTTTGCATCATCATGGAGGACGCAAAGGATATCATATTGTGAATTAATATTAAAATTAACCACTCCTTTTGCTTTCATTAAATTATATGGTTGTATAATATTCATATTGTTTTAATGCATATTTATACATACAGACATATATATATATATATATATATCTATCTATATATCTATACTCCCCATATTGTTTATATGAATATGTTTATATATAAATGCACATATATATACATATAATATATATATATATATATAAATACATACATATATATATATTTGAGTGTATATAGCTATGAATAAAATTCATATAAATATACGTATAAAGTATATATGTGTATTTATTCTTTAATGCAGTATGTTTTGTATATTTGTATTGTGCAGTTATTGCTACTATAAATTATGCAAAAATGCAAACTGTGATGTACGCAGTGGAAACGCAGTTCCTTTCCCTTTGTATAATTCACATGATTCGAGTATTCGCCATTTGCTCATAAAATGAAACGTGATGGTATAAAATTATGAGGACCGCGTAGCGTATGAGTGATAAAAACTTTTATTAACATATCACGCGACAAAATTTTCTAGAACCATAACAATGTTTGTGTTATGGCATAATAAAAATTACTGTTAACTGAAAATAATGCAGTTTAACAGTAATAAATTATATCTTCTATCTTCTCTTTTTTGCATTACGCAGTTCAGTTACTTTTATTACGTATACGCACTGTGGAGCATGCAATAGTTTCTTTTAATAAATGCGATTATTTAGCTTTAAATTTTATTAATTTTTTTACTTTTATTCACTTAAACAAAAGTCTATTGAATTAGTTGTTGATATAAGGGGAAACCTTAAGAAAATTTAAAAAAATCACAGAGTTCTATTTATTAAATAAGCAGAAGAATTTATGACACTTAGAACCCTTTTCTGCTCTATTGATCGTGATGCTTATCGGAATTAAAAATTTTGAAGACAAATGGATTTAAAGTTTTTAGTTATATGTTATGTTAAGCCTTTTCCGAGTTACTGCATCTGGGCATTTTTACTCTATGATAACTGAGGGGTTTCTGCAGAGTCCCACCTATCTCACTGACTAATTTGAGTATTCCCGGTAATCTTCGTAATTATTCAATGATTGATCTAAGATCTGCGTACCGCCCCAAGCGGATAGTGATTACTCTGAGATTAGATAGTGCTAAGTAGGGCAGCCTATCGGTTTTCACATATAGCTTCAGAGCTCTGTCGCTTATGTATTTTTTGACCGGATCTATTCTTAGGTCTCATAGCATGTCATTCTTGCGGTTATACCATAGTACTTTGAAGAGTCTTTGGAGAGCCTGACTTTGAGTAACGTGTAGCTTTGGGATAGTAGAGTCGGCAGTTTTGCTATACGCGACACACCCATAAAGTAGTGCCGGTCTAATTTTTAGTACAATACGTTTTATATTAACTTTTACAAACATTTTCAGTATAATATCAGAAACCCTTCCATCATTATCCATCAATAGTCCAATAATGTGATAAGAAGTTATCAATTTCTTAGACAGTCTTCTCTAATTTGATGACAAAGTAATAAGTCTTGTTAAATTGTCGGAATAAAATCAAATAGAAAGTATGTAACTGTGAAAACACAACAAAAATATTTAACATTAATTTTTTTCGCCTAAAGTGACGCGTCGTATGACGAAAAGACACTATTTAAAAGTTAAAAGGGTTCGAATAGAAATGAAAAGACAACAACAAAAATTTTTAGTTAATTTATTAAAATTTAGCTGACCATACAACGCTGTTTCAAGTATTATCATCATTAGTGGTCTTAGAAAATATTCGAATTTTTTAATTAGTTTATAGTCCGTATATAATTTGTTTAGACTGCAAGTGCTAGAACTCGTGTTTATTTAATATATTTTTACACCTCTTTTTACGAACTAAATTCAGTTTATTATACTTGCATTTAATGATTAGTTTTGACTTATTCAAATTATCTATATAATAAAATTTATTAATATTTAATTTGGAGTGATACAGACTTTCTATGATGTAAACTAGTCATTTTCTTTACATTTAAGTTAAGTAAATATTAAAGAGTTAAATAGGAATCAGCACTCCTAGCAATACGCTCACATCAAGTGACCTCAAAACTAATGTGGGAATGCCTTCCACTTCTTAAAGATCTTGCTGAAATGAACAGGGTTTACTTAATATGGATCACAGGGGACAACGGATTTGAGGGAAATGAAAAAGCCGATAGGAGGCGGCATTGTATTATATTGGGCCACAACCATTCTGCGGTCCTTCATGTAGCTTTTTCAAACTAAAAATTAATGAGTGGCTAAAAAGAGCAGTTCAGACTGAGTGGAATAATACAATTGCCTGCAGACCAGCGAAAGAATCCATGCCATATCGATCAAAAGCCAAAACTAGTGAGCTACTAATGCTGAACAGAAGTAGCATCCGGTTTCTCACTGAGCGTTGCGGAGTTAAAAAGCATCTATCGAATCTAGGTATTACTAGAGACGATAACTGCATACTATATTGCGAAGAAGAGGAAGCAGCAGAACACATTTTGTGTCACTGTGAAACTAACGTGGGTATGTCACAGTAATCCTCATAGGATGCAGTGACGTGGTGACAAGTTCCCAACCCGTTTTAAAATCTAATCTAATTTAATAAATAAGAATAATACAAACTTTTTAAGATGTGAATTAATAGTTTCTTTTTATTAGAGTTATTTAAATCATAAGAAATCAAATATAATTAATACAAATTTTTTATGATGTAAATTTATCCTTTTTTCGTCATCGGAGGTAAGTAAATATTGAGTAATTAATTGGACTCGTGCACATTTTCTATGCCTCATAAATAAATTCTTCTATTATTTTCTTATATTATTTATATCTTATATTTATTAATCTATTATCCACTAATATTACTAATATATTACTAATACTATTTCTACTAGTATTTTCTTAAGTGAGCAGAGCTTTTGTTGAAAAATAATAATAAATAATATATATTAATATCTTACTTTTAAAAGACGATGGTAAAAATAATATCACGGCTAAATTCAAACTACGTTATTAATAGTTTATTAATTTAATAATATTGAACTAAAGTTAATAAAGATATTTATTTTGATATATATGTATTGTATATGTTACCTATATACTTTATTTGACTTATGTTTCTTATGTTTAAATCAATAAACTAGACTCAATTAATAAACTATATAATTAGTTGCCATTAACAGCTCTTATGAAACATAGCTGACATATTGTAACCAAAATACGAGTTTATAACTAATTTAAAAATTTTTTATGTTCTATTATTTCTATCTATCTTATCTTATCTCAAAGCGTTCAGAAAGTTTATATATATTAAATTAAAATTGAATTATTTCAGTTTAAAATGTTACGAAAAGGCTTTCTCATTTGGTCTTTCAGTTGCAGTTATACAAATATTGTTTGTTGTAGGTGTTCGCTTTTATATATATAAAAAAATAATTCCTATATTTTTTATTATGAAATAAAGCCGTAGACATTCATACCAGAAGATTTCTATTAAAATTAAATGCTCTTACCTCAGCTACATAATAAAGCATTTATCTAAGTATCGCGTTTCCACATTGACTTTAAATGTCAATAATAATAAAATTTAAATTTACATAAAATGCATTTGGTTTCACTGAATTATAATTTTTGAAAGATCCGTTTCCATCATGTTGAAGGGTTATTATTCTTTTAATTTATATGCAAAATAACTTTCATAGTTTATAGAATACCAAAGTTTTTTTAAAAAAAACATATATGTACATATCAATAAAGCTCACTAACGGCATAAAAACCTATGCCAGAACTACAATATTATTAACAAAGCAGTAATTATAGTCGAGCTAGTCATAATTAGTATAGTATCTAGTGTGATCTACTATATCCAAGTAACTAAAAAGTTCAGCACTCAAACTATTTTGAAAAATAATTTAAATATTTATAAGAATCAGCTTAATCATCGCATATTTTATTATAAAGCTCCTATATAGCTCTCCATTTAGGACAGCTGGACTATTGTATTTCTGTTTAGTTAAGACTAAGTTTTAAGCCCACATATAAATTAATGGCAGCAAACATCCACGACTTTACACGGAGACAACTATAATCCATTGTAATATCTTTGAGACAACCTAAACGAACGAATATTTTCAATATAGCTCATTGTGTTTTTCTTGTTAAGTCATTTGGTTTCACAAAACAAGTTAAGTAGATACGATTAATCCACCTTTATTTTTTCTGCTTAGCCAGTAAAGAAAACTGAGGAAAAGTATCATAAATATTAAAATCGTTTTGTCAGTAATTCCAGTTTTAAAAATAAAGTTGACAAGATCCGATAAGTTCACTTAAATTACCTCCATCAAATTATTGAATAATTTGGTCTCTTTGAGAATGAAATCGTTTCGTCTGGAATTCCAGTTTTACAGACGAATTTAAGGATATCCGATAAATCTACTTAAATTATCTCTGCCGGGTCAATAAATGGTCTCTTAGACCATTTCATAAAAAGTATACAATAGAGTCAGTATTATAAAATATTTGCACGAAAAAAAATTTAACAAATTCAATAAAATCAAATTCATTTATTCCACATAAATATATTTGTCAGACCTAATCATTGAAGATGACAGTCAGAAAAGAAAAATATCTACTCTGTCAGTACACAGCTCTTGCTAGAAGGTATCTATGTAATATAGATATCTAATACCATAAATGTCAACTCGATATTTCCAATGCATGTATTGAGACCTTGACAGTTTAATGAAAATAGGGTATACCTATTTGGTATGGTGTTTAAATACTATAGTCCTCTGAGCTATCCTAACGATATATTTTCTCTATGTTTGAATGGCCCCGCCCGGTCAAAAAAAAGTGCCTTTCCTTACGGAATTCCCTGAATCGGCTAGAGTACTTTAGGTTTTTGATGTAATATTACAATGATCCTACATTTTAAGACCTATTTATCCCCGTATTCCGTGAGGCGGAGAGTTACTGTTTTGAATCTTCCTATCTATTAAAATTATATGGCTTTTGACCAAAAATATAATTTCAAGCTTTATTTAAAGTAAAATATCTATAAATATTGAAAGATAAACAATTTTTAATAATAAAATATGAACGTAGGCAATGTTATCAACAATAGCTCAAAGCATCTAGACAGAGAAACGCATACATCTTGTTTCGGATGATCAGCATTAATCCGCACTTTGCAAATGCCATGGTCGCAGATACGATGATTTCGTAAATTTACAACGAAACGCAATTGAGGCTAATTTGCTTTTACTGTAATGCAAGCCAAGCAGAACACTTGCTACCGTCACATGCCCCCGGAATGGCACTTGAATAATTTTCCACTGGAGGCACATCGAAGCGCAGCAAAGTGTTCCACACGCAGTCAAAAGTAAATATACTTTGAAATTCAATACTTTATTTTATGCTTGAATAAAAATTAATGGCAGCCTAATAATCTGTATGAAATACTTATGCACGTTTCCAAACAAACTCTAGGTGCCAAAGCAATGCCGAAATGCCCAAACCCGGTCCGATAACCCCGCCAAACAAAATAACCGAAGGCGTATTTGATATGCCAACGTTATGAATGCATGTGAGCGTGTGGGTTTGAGTGTTTGAGTGTTGGAACGTGTAGTTGGAATTTGTTTTTATTCACATTGAAATTCAATATTTTCCATGTACAGCGGCGAAACATAATCTGCACATTCATGCACGCACATGCACGCACATGCATGTATGCGACACGCACGTACGCGTAACAAACTTTTATATGAGCTACAGATCAGGCATGAATGAGCGTGTATTTACATTTCTATTCATGTGTGTGGGAGGTGTAGTGCAAATATTTGTCAGACCATCAGCTCAACTAAAGCAAATAATTCGTAGAATTATACGTTCGACGACATTCACATTAATTGCGTGCTCTAAAGGCATTTAAACTATTCAGTCATAAAATCATGTATACAAAGGCTAACTAATCCCATTTCCATTTTCATTCATTAAAAACTTTGAGATACATACGACCACATCCCATTGGTGGGTCACTAAAACCACTAAAAAGATTTTCCCGAACTGCAAGTCCAAAATGAATTTTAATCAACTTTGTCATTGAATTGTGAGAATTTAATTAAATTTTAATTAATTTAAATTTAATTCATGATTTATTTTAATTAACATTGCTCATGAATATTTAATTTGTTGAAGGAAAACTTTAAAATATTTAACTTATTTTAATATTGTTAATAAACAAACTAAAACTTGATGCAATATGCAGAAAATTAAATTATTTTTGCTTCCATCCTTTTCCATTAAATTAACAATTGAATGCATTAAATGGAAAAATATATTTTATAAAACTTCTA